CTAACTGTGGGAGATTCTCGTGATCTTCCTCTCTATGTCACGCAAATGCGGGTTAGTTCCATCAAACAGTAAAACAACGAAGGCAAATTTATCCCAATATTTGATCCAGGAGTTCCCTTTCCTTATCTCCTGGATTGGGTTCAAGTTTACAAAGCTACGGAGTTGAACATTAGTAGTCGTAAACCCAAAAATTGGGTCGGCTGTTCAACGACGGTTATAAAATAAAATAATGTATCTTGCATTTTAAAAGTTTTTCGACAACACTCTCTGTACTAAACAACAGGAATTTTATTTTCCATATTATTGTTTCTTCCCCACCCCATATTTTGAGAGTCAAAAATACATATACTTGAAAAAAAAATATGCTTATTCAAAGCAAGGACGCAGCACCAACACAGATTAACCCTTTAATGGGCCTTTTATTTCTAGTAAAGGTAAATTAAAGTATTTTTGGAATTGAAATTGTTTTAAGAACAGTAATTGATATAAAAAAAAACTCATTTAGTTTATAAAAATGCCATTTTTTTTGGTGGTAAATATATTTAACATGACCTATTAGGAACTTACTGACTTTTATTTTTCTTTATTAATAAAATAAATTTCTTAAATACTACAAACTTCAAAAGGAATTATGTATTTTATAACTTTTATACGTTTTTTAAAAGTGACAAATGGTTACCAATTTTATTCAAACTCCAAGATTTTATTCAAACTTCAAGAAAGCTGAAGTTATTGAAAAATGGAAACCTATATTAAAAGTGGTAAAACGTGGTGGTAAGTATACTTACCACGGCCTTCAAAAGGGTTAATTAGCTTCTCTAGGGCTACCCCTTTCCGAACCATTAAGTTTGCCTGATAGTCAATCCAATAATTGTATCCTAAAGTTATAGGATTGCTATTTCAATTAATTTTTTCATTAATTATTATTATTATTATTATTAATTATTATTTTCATTAATTATTTTTTCATTAACACTTATTTTATTATTTACTTATTATTATTTACTTTGCTGGACATTGTGCACTTTTCATTTTTGTTTTGATACAAATTATAGATCTTGATTTATTTAGGAAAAAATTTGAAAACATGCATTTTAACAGAACTTCACCCTTTTTCTTTCGCTCTTTATTTTTCAAGCTTTTAATTCGACAGGAAAGCGTCAATTATGTTTATTTTGGAAAATTTTATGACGTTGTTTTCAAATTTGAGTTTAGATTTGCCCACTAACGAAAAAAAAAAGCATATAGACATGCATGCTACAAAATAAAAAAGAAAAAAAGCACTTAACTCTACAAAGAAAAAAAAATTAGAATGCTATTTAGGGCACTCTTCGAAACAACTCTCAGTAATTTCAGAATAGAATTTTTTTTCTTCGTTTTCAGGACTGCACAGTCAATGATGAAATAGTTTGCAACCTTTTCTTATGACAACAACTGTTAACTGCATATAAAGAATCAAGACAACTTTTATTCAAATTGAATAAACAATTAATTAAATCTAGAAGCTGAAGGTTATTTTATAGTGAGAATTGTTCTGACAATCAATGTCAAGATTTAAAATTATGTTTGAAAACACAATTAATTATTTTTTATTAATTAAATTTTTAATAATTAAATTCATTATCGAAAATATTTTTTCCCTAAAATTAAGCCAACTGTCTTCAATTTTTCTTACTTATTGATTTAAAATGGGATTTTCTCCTGGCTGGCACAGCTGTCAGCTGAATCAAAGCAGGATTTTGTGATTTCTAGATTTTTTTGGCCTGGTCTAGCCTGGTTGATAGGACGTAGAGCTCGTGTTCATGAGAACGGCAGTTCGAATCCCACTGGTGAAGAATCTCCGCATATTAAATGGTCACTGGTGCACGTTAAACCTGTCGGGATCACTTAGTCCTCCAAGTTACTATAAATCAATACCTCTGGGAAAAATTGAATTAGAGATTGATCGTTCTCTGGTTCAGGTCAAAATTACGATCTGTGGATGAATGAATGGGTCCAACTTGTAAAACGGGGTGTGATGTGTGTGTGGATGAAGTTGTATTCTTGGCCATAGATAGTGCCATTGATAAAACAAGAAACAAACACTCTGCCTTAAAAATTAGCTTGATTTCATGATTGCTGATATATGCCAGTGGCATTAGTAACAACAACAACAGATTTATTTTGTTGTTTCTGATATATTAAATCACAACTTAATAAATTGTCAAACAACTGCATTAGATACAACTTCTAAATTGAATAGAAATTAAATGTATGGTTTGAAATATTTTAATTGGAATAAATTAAAGTAAGTTTTTTTTTGCACTGATAAAGTAGAATAGATTTGTTAATTTATGCACTGGCGTTTTAATGGGTTAAAATTGGCTTTAAATAAACTTATCTGTTTATCATTTTCTAATGGAAAAACATCCATTTACGAACTTATAATAAAAAAATCAATCTAGATAATGTAACCTAACACAGTAAACAATTCTAAGAAGCTTTAAAAATTATAAAACCATTCAGATACGATATTGATTGATTTACAATATTTCATAAATCTTTTTTATCTCGGAATTTTCAACATACAATTAACTCAGATAAAGTTTCCAATTAAAATGTGACTAGCAATGGAGATGAAATTTTGTATTTTAATGATAGACACTAGTAGGCGATGAAGTAATGTGTGTAACTTACACGGAGAAAAAAAATTCTGGCAAGGTTATCGCACTGTATGGTAATAACATTTTATACGGTATTTCAATCATTTATTTTGTAATTTTTCTGCTCATATGGTAATGGTGTACCGGAAATTCTGTTTTTTTTTTTTTTTTTTTTTTTTTTTTTTTTTTTTTTTTTTTTTTTNTTTTTTTTTTTTTTTAAATTATAGTTCTTATTATCACACATTCAGAAAAAATATAAAGCTGTAAAGAATAAAAAGTTTTTTATGCCATGCTCTAAAATATCATGATTAAGTAATAAACTTTCAACACATTTACTAAATTTTTCACATATTATTAAGCTTTATTTAATTGTTAATGTTACCAAACTGATTACTAAAGCATTTTGGTAAATATAGTCACACTTTTTGGCATCCCGTAAAGTCAGAAACACGGTAAATTTTACGGTATTCTGGTAGTTACGACCCTACTTTTTTCCTCAGTGTCAAATTTAAAATATATTTTACCTCTTCAAATTTCTATTTACCGGAGTGCTCTAACCTAAGTTTTTTTCTTTAATAAGTTGATTTCGGTAAGAGGTATAATAAAATAGCTTTCAAAATCTTCGCTAACTTGTTTTGAAATGGGTTTTTTATGGAAACTGCTATTTTTAGTTTATTTTCTAAATATCAATAATTCGTAAAATATCTTTAACATTTTGATGTTCATGCACATTAATACCTTTAAAATCCTAATTCGTCTTAAAAAAAATCTTGTTTTTGTGTTTAATTTCGTACTTAAAATAGCTTCTGCACTAAATAAACATATTTAAGGTTATGCCCTTTAGAAATTAAGATTGCATCCTATCAGGTTAAAATTTGATTAGTTGATCAAAATATATTAAGGTACTCTATTTTTTTTATTTTTCATACACCATAATTTTATATTAAAAACTTTTTTGAGCAACATTTTTAATTAAATCTTTACAAAATATTGCAATTAGGAAAAAAATTACTACAATTAGTTAATATCTCTCATATAAAACGATTTAAAGTGTGTAAATTTTTCAAACAAAAATATTCGGGTGATAAAAATTTTCACGTGAATACACTGATGGACAAAAAAAATTAGCGCACCAAGGAGTCGTCAAAATGAAACGAAATTTTACATACGTAATGATAACTTTGATATAAGTAAATGATTAGAAAATCAAAGAAAAACGACAATATTTGATTTTCTAATCATTTACTTATATCAAAGTAGTCATTACGTATGCAAAATTTCGTTTCATTTTGACGACTCCTTGGTGCGCTAATTTTTTTTGTCCATCAGTATATATTTACATGATCTCCTTTTTTCGTATAACAATATTTTCAAGAAAAACTTGTCATAATAAACATGAAATAATTGTGCTAAACGTTTTTCCCCCCTAAAAATTGATCACAATACGCAAAACAAAATTATTTAAAGGGTGAACTTATTTTTTTTTTATATTTTAAAACAAACACAAAACTGCCATGCCAAACAAGGATGTCAATTCCATTTCTTAAAATTTTGAATATTTTTATCAGTTTTAAGATAATATTAAATTGTGTAACATAACTCAAAATATTTCTTTCAAATCGTTTCCTTTGTAATAATGATTTACAATTAATCTATTAATCAAAAGATAAAAACATGCCAAACTTTACACGTAATATGATTTTAAATTATTTGAATTCACGATTATTTTATCTTTATTAATTTTAAAGTAACAGAAAATATCAATTCCTTTCTCAGAACACATCAATTCATATGTATAAAATTATATTTTAATTCTAAAACTTGGTAAAACTGTCATAATGTTGCTAACAATATCTAATATTTTCAATTTAAACATCATTAAACATTCTTAATAATTTAAAAAAAAAATTTTTTTTTTAATATATATATTTATAATTGAAAAAAATATTTTAAGATGAAGTACAAAAGGTGATAACTTCATACGAGAACGAAGGCATCAACATGAAATAATAAGCTAAATGGTAAACTAAAAAACCATCTTGAGAAGTACTAAAAGATTTAACAAAAAGAAAAAATAATAAATTTTCTTCCAGGTCTGACACTAGCAGCTTGGCGCTGCCCGCAGCTTGATTCCTCAAAAATGTATTAAAAATTTTAAACTTATTTCATATGAATAACATGCAAGTTTTCGAATTATAGTTTACCAAAAAGTCATATTTTTATGAAGTTTTAAAATTTTCAAAACAAAAAATGCCAGTTTTCACATTTCAAACATGGTTTAAAAAATGAAAAATTTCCATGCTTAAAATTTACTTAACAGTATTCTTTCAAAACTTAATAATTTTAAAAATGTCTTACTTAACAAAAAATGTCAATCCATTTTCTTTGATGTTTGACCTAACAATTTTCCACGTATTCTGGACTGTGTCCCTTTGTCTAGGGGTCAGCCCAGTGGCCGGATCTGGGTCATCGTAATTTGCCGGAGTCCACAATTTACTAAATATGAAACCCATTGAAAGTCTAGATGAACAACAACTTTCACACTAGATATCTAGATTACCAGTGAGAAAATAAACCTCCTCCTCACTGTATCTGAAACTCCCGCAAATCGGAAAGGTTACCAACAATTATTTCTTTTATTTCGCCAAATTTCGCCAAATTGTTTCCCACTGAAAAAAAAAAATTTATTCGATGGGAAGCAATATATTCTTCCTCTCTAAAATAAGAATAAATTATTATATTTTTTTATTAAAAAAAATAATGTATTAGTTATTTATCTTATTTTAATTATTTTTATTTATTATGCATTTTTGCATTTCGAACAATAGTCCATAAAATTATACAGTTTCTTTGGAAATTAAAATAATGACCAAGATTTTGCTTGACTAAGAGCTTTATTACACTGCTCAAAATAGAAAATGATATCATTTGGAATTACTTTCAATCTAATGATTGGAATTTTACGAATGAAGTGTCAATCTTAATGATTTCTGAGATCTCAAAACTCAAAATATAAAAATAAATCAGCGCCAACAGAATCTCTGAATAAACACACACACACACACAGACACACACACACACACACACACACACACATATATATA